GTGTATGTGGCTGGCGCCTCAGCCGCCTGAGCCACAGGCGCCGAGCCAGCAAGATCTTTTATACAGAAAGCTATTATCCTTCCTGGCAGCTATAAAGGATCACAGGAATAATTTGTAAGTTTAGTGACATCCTCCTCTGAAGCCCTGCAGACAGGGGAGTGGCTGTGAGGAAGCCCTGTGGCCAGTGTGGGCAGGACGCAGCCACCTGCCTATGATACCCAGGAGCATGGCAACACTAGGGGCATGCAGCTGGGGTACAGGTATGGCTGCAGCAGAGCCGGGGACAGAGTGTGCAGGCCCTCAGCGGGAGTGAGGGTCGCACATACGGAGGGTGGCCCACTCCTGGAAGTCAGATGGACTGGGAAGAGTTCTGCAGGGTAAGGAGCTGTCTAGAAAATGGGCGAAGAGCAGTGCAGACAGTGGAAGACACAGGGGCCAAGAATGGAGCACGGAAGCCGCTCCCATTAGAAACACGGAGGAGAGCTCTGGGAGGCCGTTTTCCACATACACACCTGCCAGGATTCTGGCTCAGTGTTTGTCCTGGTGGTGATATGGTTTCTGTAGGGTGCCACAGGGGCCTGCTGCCAGTGAGCCTTGGGGGGGACAGGGCCTCGCGCTGCTGCCCACTGTCCTGTGTTTGTTTTCAGAGAAAACGTTGACACTTACCAAGGACCTGCAGGTGTCTATCTCCTTTGACCCATGATGTCCATTTCTTAGGAAATTTCCCTTAAAAAGAAAGATATCCACAAAGATTTATACGTGAAGGTTCATTTTAATGTTATTTGTGGGGGGAGGTTAAATTAGAAACAACTAAACATATAGAAATACATATAGAAGATTTTTCTGAGAGTGAGCAATTATGCAGTCAAGAAAGAACCCCTCTCAATGTAGGGAAAGTGAAGTCCCAGAGTCGACCAGGCAGCCTGTAGTCAGATCCTGGCTGTGCGTGCACACACACACTCACCATAGGCAATGAAGCAAAGCTGAGAGGCACAGAGGTGCCGCCCATGGGCTGTCTGTGCAAAGTGGGGAGGCAGGTGATTTTCATTTACTAAAAAACAGATTTTACAGAATCAGCATTACATATAAGGCATTTACATTTTTAAGTTTTCTATAATTATAGTTGAAATTATTCTGAGTTCATGAGTATTGGGTCTTCTTTAAAGAGTGTGTTTGGATTTATGGATAGATAAATCAGAGGCCAGGGACATTCTTGGCCAGAGCTGAGCCTACTTTCTGTGGGGCAGGTGTGTGTCCCCAGGCTCCAGGCCGTGCTGCCCACTGCTCTATTGTCACTTTCCCTCCACAAGTCCCAGGAACTGGACATGCAGACTGGGTTGGCCAGCCTCCCTAACCCCTGTTGCAGCCCTGCCCCTTGAGTGTGGCCAAGGAGGTCTCCTGACTTGTGGGACTCTGTGTGGCATCAGCCATTGTCACTGCCTGCCACGTGTGGAGTCTGGCTGTCACAGGTGTGAGTGCTGTGCCCACCCTGCACTCTGAAGTAGCTGCCCCCTCTGTCTCTAACCTGCTGTCCTCCCTGGGGACACTGGAGGTCAGCACTGTCCATAGCAGGGCCAGTGGTACTCAGCTTTTTCTGGGATTTTAATCAGGATGTTCTCTGGTTGTAATTAAACCACTTTCTTTAAACATAAGTCAGAGAGCAGAGAAGATGTTTAAGGCTTGGGCATATTAATCTCAAACTTTTTTATTGCATTTGAAAATGAAAGTTATTTTTTACCTTCAATTTCATAAATATTTATTGTGCTCTACTCTATGCCAGCACTAGAGGCAAAGTGTCAGGTGCTGTCCTCATCCCGAGGCTGATGGCAGCACTGTCTTCTTGGGAAGATTAAGTAATGATACTCCCCAAAAAGTAGTTGGCATCTGGTTATGGGAAAATAGGGATTATTCCCCTAAACCAGCAGTTCTCAACCTATGGATCGCGACCCACAGGAACTGTATTAAAGGGCCACGGCATTAGGAAGGTTGAGAACCACTGCGAAGACATTCAAGTTAAGAGCATTTATGGAAAGAGCTCTGCTTGCCTTGTTAATAATTGTTACAAGTTAGCCCTGCTTTGTGGCAGGCACCTGTTCACAGCTACTTGGGAGGCTGAGGCAAGAGAATCGCTTAAGCCCAAGAATTTAAGGCTGTGATGCCACAGCACTCTACCCAGGATGACAAAGTAATACTCTGTCTCAA